ATTAACAGTAATTTGGCTGCTGGAAGTTGCCCAAAGTACTGGCAGTGTGTTCTTGCTCTTACTGAAAAATAAAGTAGCAGCTCTTCTTTCTTTCATAAGTGTATTTGTGTTTGGATCCTGCTCAGAAGCCTGTTGTGAAAGTCATCACTTCTAATTGCACCGTGCCCCAGGGACCTCCACAGGGCATTGACGGGCTCAGGACTGACTCAGAGCTGAAATTATTGACGCTGCTCATCTAGAAAAATGATGCAATTACAACTCTTCTCCCCGCTCTGGGAAAGGATCTTGGATCTCCTCTTTCAGTTTTCAGAGGTGGGGTGGGCCAATCTGACTCGAGTGAGTCTTCCTTGCTTGCATATATTTATCAATCCCTTCTTTTTACAGTTTTGAATATTTCCTGCAGGTCAGAGACTGTGCATAACTCAACTGTTAATGGCTTTTGTCATGTGTTAAAATAGAAAATTTCAGACCACCCTGACTACTTGCCTGGTGCTAAAGGCATTGAGAGGTCTGGTTTCCCCTGAGGAGCTGATCTCTTCTGTTCCTGGCTCTTGCCTTGCATCTGTCTGGGCTGTTCCTCATCTTGGGGCACATGTGGGAGCACAGTTCCTCCCTCCTTAGCATTTAGGCTAAGGAGCACATTCCTGCTGTCACCTCGTTGTTCTGCCTCTGCTCTGCAGCCAACTGCTCTCAGCTATCCCAGCTGAGCTGCCCTCAAAGCTGCTGTACACCATCACCGATCCTGTCTGCCTCTTGGGCAAAAAGGAACAAAACCTAGGAGAGATAAATGGTTATTTTTGTGTTGATCTGTAGTCCTAGAAACAGTGACATGCACATACTGAAAGAATGATGTGGCAACAACATAGGAATAAGTGGTGAGGAGGAAGAGGGAAGAGAAGAAGAAACTTGTTGAGCAAATATTACTGTAGACACCCCTCTTGTGGAGCCAGGATCTGTGGGTTTATTTCTTTAAAATGAACAGCAAAACTTTCTGTTTCTGTTCATTAAACTGACCTAAACTCTGCATGTAGGGAGGATGGAGATTTATGAATAAGCTGCTGAAGAAGTTTGCAGCTGAGCACATCCCAGACACCTCTGATTCCCCACGTGGGCCTCCCCTGTGGGGTCAGGTTTGCTGCTCGGGCAGGGACGGAGCTGCACCTCGGCAATCAGGCATTGGTGGCAGTACCTCAGAAACAGTGCTGGTGTTCCAGCCACGTGAAAAGAATGGAAAGGAGCCTCGTGATTCCATCCCCTGTTCTGTCACACCATTGCTCAGGGACGCTGATTCCATTTGCTACTGAAAAACTGGCATTAAAAGATCCCCCGAGTTTCTGTAAGTGCATTTAAGCCCTGGTTGCTGTGTTGTTTTTGTAACCACCATGTCTGTCAGTGGGAGCTGAAGCACAGGCATTCTGCTATCCTTAACATTATGCATTCTTATCTAATTATATATTTATTTTTGAAAATATAATGCTATTATGAAATAACTTAATTATTATTTTATGTGATATTTAAAGCCCAGCATTGTGCTTCCTGCCACAGCTGAACAGACATTCTCCTCCAGGAATTGTATGTTTCTGGAAGTATGATAATAAAGTCCAGCAAATATTTAAGTGCCAGCAAAGAGGTTTGCTGTAATAAGTTGTTATAGTCCAAAATTATCTGTATCTTATAAGCTTGGACCTAATGTATTCCTAAAACATCTTGTGCATATTCATTTATTTTGTTTGCATCTTTTGTGGGTGGCTGTTGGTATTAGGTCAATTCCTTTAGGCGAGAAGAAAGAGGATACCACACACTTGGAGTCTGTCAGCAGAAAATCCATAGGAGGGAGGAAAGAAATGAATTGGAGTTCTTTCATTTAAACACATTAGTTGTCCTCACACAGGGGCTAAGGGCTTCAGAAGGTTTTGAAAATTTTTATATTCACAAGATGGAATATGGGATTACAAGAGAGAAAAATAGTTCTGGAATTTATTGTGTTTTAACTACAGGATGTGGTTATTGAAATAATGTTCTTGTGCTTTTGGTAATAGCTGACTCTCAGGCCTGCTCTTAAATTGTGCTGAACAACTTCAGTGAGAGTTAGAAGTAATTTTGAACACCTGACACTAATTAAGTGGGTGATTTGTGCTTCTACAGGAGCTCCATGATCTACCAGGGAAGAACTGACCAGTGAACTCTCAGCTTTGGTTGCTCTTCCCAGATCTGCTCCTGAGCTGCTTCATAGCACGGGGTTTGGTTGAGCACTTTCCTTGTGTGTAACTACTGGTTTCTCCTTGGAGTTCTGTGTAAAATGCAAGCTCTTTGAATCATGGTTATCTTTAATGAACTACCAGCAGGTTGGATCTTCAGACTATGGCTTATATCCATTAGTAGTTTGTATTCTGTTGGGGCATAGCAGATTTTCATGGAAATTTGTTTTTTCCTTCGTCAACATCTGAAGATAAACTCGGGATGGATCAGTTATGTAGTTCAATTACATTTTCATTGAAAGATACTGCTTTTTCTTAGTTTTGAATGGTTACTTCCTAGATTGTAATTTCTCAGTTTTTGGTACTTTAAAAAAATACTCATTATCCCATTTGATCTGATGGTGAATAGTTGATGTGGCATTATTATTTTGGTACATTTTCTGTCTCCTTTGATTGATTTAAGTCTCCCTAACACTAATCAGGGACTGTGCTTGTTACATACACAACTGTTGTGTACTTCTCTGTGCTCTAATACTCCAAACTTCAAACAAAGGAAACATGTGGAAAATATTAGGGGTGTTACCAAGTAACTAAGTTACCTATTTTTAATATGGCACGGTTTTGGTGTTTTTTTCACTTTTGACCAGTTTTAGCTTGATAAAGTTCAGATAGTTAAAAACAAAAAAAAACTCAAATGACCAAAATATGGTGAAGCAAATCTGTGCTGCAGGTGCAGCATTGATCCAGCAGCTCAATGCCACACAAATAACAATTTGGTAGGTGTGAAAAGCAAGTGCTGCTGTAGCAGCAAGGTGCAGGGCTCATAATGTAACTGGTTAAATGTTCTTCAGTCAAAATGAAAGCACCCCACAAGCTGTTGCTAGGGAAATAGGTGCCTGTGGTGAGTGTTGAATGCAGAGAGGCTTGTCTGTCTTGCAGATCAAAAATTGGCTCCAAGTACTTTGTGTATCACTTTACAGGCGGAAACTTGCTGCTTATCAGCAGGCTGGTCTCTGTGCCTCTGAGGAACTTCAGTTACAAATACAGAGAGAACCTTTTACTTTTTTAATTCTCTTCCCTTTACATTTTGATGTGAAGTATTTCTCTGGTGCATTATCTTTGTTTATAATGTCTGTGTAGGACAGGAATATCCCCAGGACCTGATCCTGAGGATGCTTCTATGGAGCAGCACCTTCATCCCTCTGTAACTAAAAGGAATCTTGCATGTAACTGTTTATCAGGGGCTCTGGATAAAATGATGATTTTAGGCATAGCTTTTAAAAATAACAAAAAAAAAGTTAGTGAAACTTTGTCAGCTTTGTATAGTTATTACATTAATTCTCTAAATTGCATTGTAATTCTTTAAGGTGTGTTATAAATTATGAATTACAACAAAGCACCTTCATAAACATGGGGTGACTTTTAAAAACTGTCACAGTTCATTTTTCTAAAAGGCACTGTGATATTTCTGGGATGCTCTAACTATTCAGCATCTCCCCATGTGCTACTCCCCAGATGACACTGGTCCATTTCAGAAGAACAGGAGGCATCTCTCGTGATTATCAGACACTCACCCTTAATACTGGATACATGACACAGTGAAAGTAAAGCAGCAGTTTAGTTAGGCATTCCAAATTGTACATGTAACAGGTTTAACGAAGTCTTATTTTTATCTGCTTTTATGCATGCACAAACACAGCAGATTCATATCTGACTTTTCAGATGAACGCTCTGAGATATCTTGTGGCTTTTATTCTCATCTCTCTCCAAGGCTCCCAAAAGCCTTTGTCAGGGTTTTGACCTTTTACATAAGAATATTTTCCATCTTTCACCCAATTTTTAAGAATGCAGATGCATGTAGGTCTTGGCTAGGTACAATTTACTCCTGGCCAAAATCTAATGGAAGTGGCCACAGCTGTCCCAAGACTTAGATATGAGCTGGACATTTAACCCACTGTGACAGAGTGGAGTGACTATTTTGAATGGTGGTTCAAGTAGTTTGTATATTTTAGCAAAAAATTAACAGCAAATGGCAGTAGATTTACTTCAATTCTTGTTGTGATAAAATACTTTGCATCCCTTCTGATTTTGTTCCAGATTATTTGGCAGTTTCATTTACCTTCTGCTTCCCAGAGTGGGTCCCTTGGTACTCCAAAACAAGCAAACTTAGAGTCAGAATGTCTTAATTTCCACACTAGCAGTAGACAAGTCTTTATCCAGAGTTACAAGTTCCTGGGAAGGAATATTTTGTTGGTGTGCTTTTGGTTTTTTTTCCAGCTGTTTTCCTGCCATATTGTCATATTTGCTGATCTGCAATATTTTAAGTTGTTTTGAATAATATAGTTTTTAATTTAAGTTGCCTTTCATGGAGTTTTTTTTATTGCTGATATTTGGTCTTATGTGTAACAAAACTTATTGAAAAAGTAGGACTTTCATTATCGATGGTGCTGTGAAAGTTAGTAAAACATTCTTATCCTATTTTTAGCAGAGTTCCCTTTGCTGTCATGCAGGCCTTGCTTGAAAAGCATTGGCATCAGTTAGCATAAAGACAATGCCTCTCATCAGTCTTGAGCCTTCTCAGACTTTTCCAACTATGATTGTTTCAATCAGGTTATATTCATGCTGCAGCATGTCACAATATAGTTAAATACTTTTTCTTCTACTGATTGTCTGAGTAAAGGTTCATAGAATGTATGGCGGAGATTGAGAAGATTTTTCTTCCTTAAACTATGAGGGGAAGAAATAAAGCATTGTTAATGCCTATGGTGGCCCTTGGAGTAAAGATTCCCTGTCTTGTTGCAGGTTCCCATGTGTGGTACATCAAAAGATTTAGTGTCAAGGATTTAACCTGAGTGGGCTGCACTCACTCTCCTGTAGGAATTTCAAAATGATGGAACCAGACCATGGTGGAGCAGAGAAATATGGATTTTGCCAATGAATCCTGTGGCCTGTAATGGTAAGCAAACAACAAGCATGTGTTTCTTATCAGTGGTCCCAGTAAATAAAAGCCTGGAGTAATCTGCTGTGCACAGCGCAGCGCTGCAGTCCAGGTGAAAATGCTTTCTCAGTGCTGCTGTGGTGGGTGAACACCCAGCCCTGGGGCTGGCTGGGCACTGAGCAGTGCAACCTTCACTGGTGTTAGTGATGCCTCAGTTTGGAAAGCTCTTCTGTAAACCTCGTGTAGCTGTGAGACAGTAACTGCAAGCTGTTTTGAGGAGTGACTTTTGCCACATCCTGAAGATTTGCTTTGTCTGTGGTATTATTTCAGGTTTGGATTTAACTAGTTGTACTTTAATACTTATTAACTGGCTTTAGTATCAGCAAATCCAAAGGATAAAGCTGCTTCAGGAGAACTTAAGTGCCTGCTTTGTTTTAGGTGTGCCAGGTGAGATATCCCCATTTCCCCATGTGAGTCAGTGCTTTGCACAGTGCAAGTTTCCAGTGGCCTGTTGGCATTAGGAATGGTTTGGCAGGGCTGGCTGTCAAACAAAGCTTTGGAAATGGTAAGATGGAAGATAAGATGAAACAAGGAGAGTGATAGTGATTAGATCTGTGTTCAGACATTTTAGTATCTTAGTAGACAATCAAAACTTAGTGTGGAAACAAAATTCCATGAGGCGTGTTAGTTGTCACTGGGAAGCTCTCACTGCTTCTGCATGATTCCCTCCTTGTGATCCAAAGCAGCTTACCTAGGCCCTTGTGAATTCTTGGCTCCTGTGGCCCTTTGTCTGGATCACTGACAAATATTTATACAACTCCTAACAATTTTTTACTGTGTTGCTATAAAGTGAGACTGAAAATAGAAGATTTCTGAGGTTTTCAGTCCTTTATCATAGTTTTATTTCAGAATGACTCCACAAAGGACCTTTCTGAAACCTGGTATTGCATTTTGGAAAACTAAAAAAGAATTTTGGGTGTCTGACAGCTTTGTGTCCCAAGGTAGGGTATGACTCTAGAAACAATGCTTCCATCAGAAATATCTGTCTCTTTGGTGGTGTTTTTAATATTTAACCTCCAAGGGAGGGAACTTCCTTATTGCAAGTGTTACTTTTAGTTTTTTTGGCTGTGAAGTACGGATGTGGTGGTGTAACAAAAGTTGCATGCTTAGTTTGGGGAACGTTAAAATTCCCCTGTAATGAATAGTATAGAGAAATAAGATTTTTAAAGGTATTTGATAGGATTTAGTCTTGAAGTACTAGTCATTAAATAAAGGGAGATTGGATTTAATGCCTCCTTACCTTCCCCCTTCTTCCTTAAATAGTATGAAAACTTTGCTTTAGTAAAGGGTATTTAATACATTAACAAAAATACTTGTGCTGCAGTACCACTGTGCAGTGCACTGCTCCAGGTACTGAGGCACAGTCACACTCTTTGTGTCCATCTCTTGGCCTTGGGCTGAGTTTTGCTTCTGAAGTGGCATTGCCTAGGGAAGAGGTGAGTAAGCAGAAATTCAGCTAGAAACAACCATGTTTGAAAAAAAATGCTTAAAAAAATACTTGGCTCTGTAAAAATTAGATACTGGGACCAAAAAAAATCAAGGAAACTGAAGTTGTTGTTGATATCAATGTTTGAATTTTAGATGCCAGTTTGTATTTCTATTCACTTCAGAGGGGTGGGAATATTGTAGGTAGGAGAGAGCCTCCTTCTCTGTTTCACTGGTTTTAGATGGACTCGACTGAAATGGGAAGTGATTTCTTATCTTAGGGCAGGTGTTATCTTTTTCCTGCCTTGTCCCTGCCATATTGTGATTGCACCTGCTCTGTGCAAATACATGATTTATCCTAGATTGGGGCAAGACTCATTTCTGTATTGAATTGTACATTCCCCTTAAATAACTTCGTGGGACGGGAAAAAAATGAGAGCCATGTGTGATGCCCATTACACTCTTGTTTGCAGTGATTTTTAAATTTTTTGTAATTTTTTACTTTTTGCACATCTGTTGTATCTAGTGATAGAAAAGTCCAGTTACACCCTGGTAGTCTGACTCTGCCACATCTGTGCTTCTTGACTGCTTTCTTGAAATAGATTATCTGAGGCATATTCAAAATATTGCAATACAGTTGAGAGAATTCATTCTAGGTGTAATTAATTATCTTGAGCTTAGAAAACTTTGCTATTTATTGTAATTCTGTGACTTAAATGAGATAATGCCTGGAAAAAAAAGACCGTTCAAATACGCCTTTCTTGAATTTTTGTTTTATTGCTGATTCCAGTAAAGGCTCAGTATTACCTAGTGTGATGCATTTATTTTTTAAAAAACATATCCTGTGAATGTCAGGAGTTTTACTTTCTGTGAAAATCAGGGAAATTCTTGTTGAAATTATTGGGGCTTAGACACACAGAGATTCTGTCCCTGTACTGGTCTTAGTGAAAATATTTTTCTGCATGGTGTTGAAGTTTAATGTTCTGTGTTTCAGGGTTTTTTTCTGCAGTTTATATAGCTCAATATTACAGGTTTTAGTACTTTCAGTAATGGCACAAGCACTCTGTTTTTGATATAACTAAACTGAAATTACTCAGTGAAAAGCTATTCTGGCTTCTGAGGACACTGTGTTCAAAGACATGAATTTTAAACAGGTCTGAAAACTGAAAGCGTAAGGGAAATATTGACTCTTGCAGTGGTAAGTTCAATTTTAGATCAGCTAAAATCAAAAAGTCTATCTGTAAGATGTGACAGGGGGTCAGGAAGTCAAGAAATAATCACACACCTTGGTTTTGAAAGATGCAAAGCATAGCTCAATTCTCTTTTGGTGTGATGTATCTTTTTACACCCTGGAGTTTGCTCCTTATGAAAACCAGTATTATAAAAGGACTGCTTCCTCCCCGGCCCTGCTGAGCCAGACCCAACACTTAATTATAAGGCTTAATAGATTTGTTGGTTGAATCATTATGTGTTTTCACAATAAAAAGTACCTTAGAACTTAGAACAGTAGTAAACTCTCCTGTGTAGTTCAGTTGCAGCAGTCTGGTTATATGGGCTCTTTTTCCTTTTCTACAGACTTAGTTCGTGAACTTGTCTTAAATTACCAATTGGTTTTCTGAACCATATTCTGTCACCATTTTCTGTCCTACCTGGATCCGTAGCACAGAAATTTATTTTTGTGACTGTAATATTTTTCTTCAAAGCACATTCTGCAATAATAGTGGCGCTTAAAAATTAGCATCATGCACCCTCTCCCTGCCCCAGCTTTAGCAGTGGTATTTTTCATATTCTTTTCCTTAGGCTGTGGACCTGTGAGAAGTGATGAGTCAGTTAAGGAGCTCACTGCTGTGCTTGCTTTCCTACTTGTGGTTTGCTTTTCCTTTCCAAACCCCGGGCCAGCTGTGGAGCTCATCTGTACCTCTGCTACCTGCTGCACTCCCCACCCGGACAGGGAAGTGACCTGCCAAAACTGGCTTTCTGTGCTGTATTTGGTGAGTGGGCTCTGCAGAGAGCCCAGCAGGAACTTGGTGCAGGTGCCTGGTACAGGATGGGGGCTCTGTGTGGATGAGTCCTCCTCCTTTGGCTGGCCAGAGCTGGCTGCTTATGAAACCACAGCCTCTGTTATTTCACATCTTCCACTTGTAAAAGAGACTGAAAAACTGCTTCCAAATTAAACAGCCCATTACTTAGTCCTACTTTAAATAGCATTGGAGAACAAACATTATGAGAAGAAGCAATCTACTGAAATAAGAATGTGAATTAAAAAGTTCAGTTTCAATGCTTTCTTTGCAGCACATTTAGCATTATCATTGCTGTGGCTTTCAACGTTCAAGGGCAAACCCTAAGTGATGTAGTGTCACTGATTGCTCTAATATGTCATGGAGTATTTTTTTTAATGACAGACTACTTTTGTATTGATTTGGTATTTTAAGAGTGCTGGTTTGTTGAAGTGGGTATCCTCACTTTTTGTGAGAAAATAAAGGTGAATACAAGTAAGATTTTTTTTTCCTGTGTTGCAGAAGTCCTTCTACAATTAAATGTAACTAACGAAGGTGAAATTTCACATGAAAAACTTCAAAATATGTATTAAAAAAGGTATGCCTTTGTAAAGAAACTTACTGTTAGCAGACAGATCATTGAAAACACACCTGTTCTCCACTCAGTGCTTTTGTATGGGTAGAAGAAGCTAAGGTAGCTGCAGGCTAGCAATTGAAAGCAAAGTCTAAAAGGAAGAAGTGTTGTCTTTAACATGAATGGTATTTCCTGTGGTGTATGTTTGGATTGATAAAGTTCATTTCCTACACTGAACTAGTGTGGAGTCCACTAGACTGGAGATTATTTTTGCTTGAAATTCATAGTTCATCCACTAATCTCCTTCAATTATTCTATTGCATGTTTATAGACTCCTGATTCCCTTTTAGTATTTGATAATGGGTAATTGCAGTCGGCAATCATTCTTGTCATGGAAATTGCTAAAGTAATTTCAGAAACACTGTTGTTATTTGTGTGAAACAAAAGATAGAATGGAAATCAAAACTGTGCTATCTGGTGCTGTAATAGTTAAAGATGAAAAAATGATTCTGCTTGCTCTTATACAGAAGTTATTGAGAGGAATAAGGCAATTTATATCCATTCATTTGGTTCTTTCTATTAAGGTTTGTTTTAAAATTTCAGACTGCTTTTTGGTAACCAGGCAGCTCTGGGTCATCAGGTCTTGAGTTCTTGGCAAATGAACAACTAAGAGAAAAATACTTTATAAATTATCTAGGTGGTTACTGTGGCTGTGTTTGCTTGTGAATATATCAGGAGGTTAGAAATTAAAGACAGAACTGCAACATATTTGGATTCTGTTTGGAAAGGCTTTAAGTTGGTCAGGAGCTGCTCTGAATAATTCTCCCAAGAGAGGAGGAATAGGATGTGGTCACTGGCTGTCTGTCCATCCTGGTGTGTGAGAGGGTGGGCAGGAGGGTGCAGAGAGTGAAAGAAGCCATCCCAAGAGCTCTTCTGTTGTTATCAGTCTGACTTCTGTATCAGATAGCAGATCATTCTTTCTGCTGCTCCACTCTGCAATGCTGAGGGGAGACTGTTCTTTGTGCCAGAGCTCCAGAGAGCTTCCTGGGATGTGACTTAGTGCTCAGCTCTCTCCATGTCTTGGATGCTCCGTTCTTACAGGCTCTGTTCAAGCCATATTCTGCAGCTGTTGAGTCTTCAGGAAATGTGTGTCTTCAGCCACGTCTTCAGAAAATGTGGCATTTTCTGAATTGACACAAAGCCTGGTGGACAGTTTTAACTAGCCTGGGAGAAGAAAGAAATTCAATCCAAGCCTGGTAGGCTAATGAAATAATAATTGCTTTTGTATTTTTTGTGACAAAATTCTACTGATTTGTCAGAAGGAGACTGGAGAGTTTAGCAGTGCTTGGAAATTCCCATCTCTGGGGAGGAAACCATAGAGCAATACTCAGATTTGTGGGAGACAGAAATGATGTCTTTTTTGCTTGCAGGTGAAAGGTGGCTGTGCTTTTGTCAGGTCTTGCCCAGTACTTACCTAGAAGAGGTTCTCGTGCTGAATCTGAGCACATCCTTGTTCCCACTGAAACACAGTAGATTTGGAAGGTAATAGGTGTTTTGGTTCATGTTCTAGTCTGGTATTCTGTTGTCCAGTTTTTTTAATACCTCTCACATGTCCAATGTTTTTACATATTCAATGGGCAAAAATTCTTCATGTTAACTGGCTTGCAGATGGCTATGAAGCTCACACAGATCTGACTAAATCATATTTGTGTGTTTGGTGGCTGCTCCTGTAGGCTCTCAGCACAGTTTCCAACCCACACTACCAGGGCTGCTTCTTATATATCCTGACCTGGGTGATAATTCCTTCTCTTTTTCATCCAAACACAATGAAGGCTTCTAAAGAAATGAGGTTTTTTCTTGATAAGCTGCTGATCAGAGCAGCTGATGGCTTTATGGCAGCAGCCCAGATCCAGTCCCCATTTGGCTCTGTATGTTTGCCACTGGTGCTTCTGGGAATGTCCTCTGGTTTTTGTGGCTTGTTGCTGTTTCAGGGTTACACCTCTCTTGGCATGTCATAACAACAAATCTTCAAGAGGCAATGACCAAAAAGAGTAAAAGTGATGCTGTGGTGCACAGTGCCCACATGATCCTTAAGCATATACACAGGAACATGTTGAGTTGATCCTTGTTCCAGTGTGTGATACCACCCATGACAGAATCTTTTTCTCTCTCTCAACTCTGCCTTCTGCAGTTCCAGAAGGCTGTTGGAAAAAAATCAAAGGAGGAAAGACATAAAAAGAGGGGACTTTTAAAAGGGAGGTTGTAGTGGCAGTGGGACATGGGATGCAAACTGAAACTAATTTGGAGTTGAATTATTCACCTCAAAGCAGCATTTATGTGGTGCATTATGAATTCTTGGTAAATCAATAAAGTACTCTTGGGGAGTTTCTTTGCCTAGTAGAGTTCTGAGAAGAAAATTGTATGACCCAGGGGTCATTCATAATTACTTGCAGTGCATATCTGGGAAGATCAGCCAGGAAGAAACAAATCAATGAGATATCAATCTCTTTTTAATTAAAATGGGTTAGGCTATTGAAAAGACATGTCTCTTCAATCTGATGTTCTGTAAAACTCTTCAATAATATTCAGAGGTGGTTCTAAGATGACACCGCACCCATTTTTTATTTTTTGAGCAGTAGATTATTGAACCACAGCCACACAGTATAATCCTGTAGAATAGACATAATTCGTGGTACAGTTTTTTCATTGAGGTAGTCAGGAGAAGTTACAGAAAGCGAGCTGTGAAGTATTTTTCTTGGATTTTAGTATTAAGTAGCCCAAGACAGGATAATTTCTTCCACATAATTGTGAATGTGTTGCTGTTTAGTAATTAATAGTTATTTTTTGAAAATGGGTTCTGCTAATTGGAAAAATAAAGTTCCCCCTCAAAATACATCTATATCATTAAAGTTGCCATCAAAATAATAATTCTGCAAGTATATTAAAGAAGATCTTAATTGGTTTTGTTCTGAAATACACTTTCTAGAAGTAACTGGGACAGCAAGCCTGTCATCTCTCTCACACAGTCGTTCACATCAGGCAGAGTGCCCCCCAGCCCCATGGTAAAGGAATTTCTCAGGCTGTTCCATGAGCTGTCTGCCACTCTAGTGCACCAGAGGCCAAACCTTCCCACTGTCTGGAGTGTGTTGTCTTTGTCACTGAAAGACAAATTCAAATTGAAATACTTGCCCCTGTGCACATCTTCTGAGTTTCTTCTTCAGGAAAAAACTGGCTTGTATTCAAGTGAAGTAATCATGCAGTTACCTTTGACTTGAAAAATGCAGTAAAACATGATGCAAATGTTTCAACTTCTTCATCTCTCCTTTAAATGTCAGTGGTTTCTGAGATTCACACTTCTTTCCAAGAGTATTATTATGCACATGCAAATGGTATGAGTACCAAAAGAATTTTTTAAGTGAAAAATGGGAGGACTTTAATTATGACGAAAAGCTCAGTAATAGCCAGTACAGGTGAGACATTAGGTATACCATTAACTATAAATGGGAAAGATTCAATTTAATTTGCTTATTATACATATATATAATAATATGTTAATATATATGTCAGTTTATTCTGGATATTACTGAATAAGGGTGATGCAATATGGGTTTTTTTGTGATTAATCCAAGTTTGTGGGGCACCCTGGAAAGAAGCTCTAGTTTCACATTTTGCAAAAGTACACTTTTTTTTTTTTTTTTTTTTTTTTTTTTCTTTTTTTTTTTTTTTTTTTTTTTTTTTTTTTTTTTTTGGTCCAGTCTCACTGTTGATATATCTGGTTTTGTCTGCTTGGTCATTAAAAATTGGATAGGATGTTAGTGTTTGGCTCTATTTACCAGAGGCAGAATTGCTCACTATGGTTTATGAAACTTTTTCCTGCTTTTAGTATGAAAGCAGTCTGAATGTGTGTGTGTGTGCAGTTAAGCATTTGGTTTTTGAAAGTTACTGGCTGGGATTTGGCTTTTCTGGGAAAGAAAAAAAAGTGTGTTTTAGTGGGTTCTTTCTCCCTGGAGCAGTGGCCTTGGGCACCATGGTGACGGCAGTCAAGTGGCAAAGAAGCTGTGGTCCTGTTATCAAGTTTTAATAAGACAAAATCCTGTTTTTCATGCTTTCCTCCATCAAATCCCCATGCTTCTTTTCTATGGCTCTTGGCATTGAATGAACTATATTAATTAACCTGTATGAAAAATACTGATCATTAGAAATAAACAATACAGTTTATTCCTAAATGTTCATTGTTAGCAGAACACATGTATTGCCTTGGAAATGTATTACTTAAAGTGGAATGAAATACAAGACTAGATGTTAAGTATCTTTAAAAAGAAGCTTAATGAATTTTGGCTTGGACAGCTGTATTTTCTCATTTTTCTATGCATTAATTAAAGTGAGAAATTAATAAAAGCGGATTTCTTAATTTTTAAGAAGCATGTTTTGAGAAAAAACGCCAAGTGTATCGTGATTAATGATTATACACACACATACACACACACACACAGAGATACTCAAAGCTTCCAAGGAGTTGTGAGCATTCAGTTACACAACATACTGACAGGAACTGTGTCATTTGCTCAAAAGGAAAAAAACACATGTAGTACACTTGTATACGAAAGTGTTTGAGTTGCCAGAGCCAGGTGAGTAGAGCAGCCCCTGGTGAGCACTGCCGGGCACTGCTGACCACACATGAGGCTCCTGGGCTCCCACCCACCAGCAGCACGCAGCTTCTGCTCACTGGTCACAGCATGCACGTAGAAAGTTCAAGGAAAGTTTAAGGAATCAACTGTTTTTATTCCCTCCCTCCTGGAGAACACTGTGTATGATTAACTATGAATTTACTAATCCTGTCTCTCTGCAGGATTCATCCCAGGAAGTGAGAGTCAAGCTTATGGAAAGGAGTTTGAGACTGGCAAAGTAATAATTTAAAAAACCCTCATGCCAAAAACACCTGTCTGCACCAATGCAAGTTGATCTGGAGCTTCATGCTTAGTGCTGATGATGAATTGCCTGTGGTTTTGGGGAGGCTAATTCTTGCTTTCGATTGTATTGGAAATCTGAAGTTGATGCTCATGAGAAGCAAAATCAGAGAACGTGGGTTACTCGGTGTGCCTGAAGATCACAGAGGCAGCAGCCAAACGACAAAACTTCTCTTTGAAGCAGTGGCTTCAGCTGTGTCATTGTGTGCACTGGGAACGGAGAGAAATAGCAGCCAGCCTGGGAGAAGATGCCAGCTAAAGGGAAATACTTCTTCAACGAGAGCGATGACGGCAGGATATCGGACCCGCTCTACGAGAAGTACCGCTACACCAGCCAGCAGCATCCTCTCCTGCTGCTGCTGCTCTTCATTGCCATCCTCTTCTGGACTACTCTTATTATAATCTTCTTTGTTACTGCTGTGAGTAAACTTCTATTGTGTGTGTTCAGTGTTTGCAGAGAGGATAAGGAGTCACCCTGACAGCGCACTAAACGTTTTGGCTGTGTAATATTTTGAGCCACACCGTATCAAAGTTGCAGTGCTGAAAGATATCAAGTAACTGTGCATGTATTACTGTGTATGTTTTTGAAAGGATGGGAAAAGAGGAGAGATTGTCAGGCACCTGCACAATTGGTATAAGGATTGTTTTTCCTTTCTATACATTAAGAACAAATCCTAATCTGTATTGAATGCTAGCTATGATAGTAAGTACTAAAAGGGCCAAGGAAAGAACAAGAACAGAAGTTAAAATGTTCTGCATTTCTCATATGACTTGTTGGTTTTTCATCAGGTTATTCCTGAGGTGATTTTTTTCTTGAAATATTTGTAGATGTTAATTTCCTTTTTAATTTTTTTTTGTTAATAAAAACACAACAGGAACCTCCCAGTGTAAACAATGGCTGATTGGTGGAATCAATAGTTAGCAAAGAGCAGTGATCCTATAGGCATAGAAAAGATGCAGCTTAAAGATTTTTTTGTTATGTAGTGTAATTTGATTTTCTGTAAAGAAATTTGGTGTTGTACAAGCCCAGCTGACAGCTGGTAAGAAGAAGAGTTGATTTAAAGATAATGTTGTAAAAAGACAGTAAATTAGCTGTTATAATCCTTCATTGGCTTTTAACTCTGCTTTCCAAACCCTGTGCTTCATAATAAAGGGTTTTCAAGTCTCCTTAGAAGCAAATCCAATCTTACCAATTGCACTTGTATCCCTTTTACCTTTTATTTCTTAGGAAGGGAAAAAAAGGAGCAACACTATTTTTAACTATTTATCCTCTGTGGAACTTAGACCACTGTTACACTCCTCTTTAGCAAAGTTTAAACTCTAAATGCATTTCTTTGGGTACATCTGCATTATAGCTACATTGTAGTTAGAACATAGTGGTTTGGGAATTGCCTTTTAAACTAGTTTGGAAAATAATAACAGTGGAACTGGGGTAGAATGAGTATCTATAATAGTATTTATTATATTAGCTCTGTATGTGTGACTACCAGAAAATGTTCATGCTGCCACAGCTAGTCTACTTAAAAACCCAGGTTAACTTATTTCACAGGTATCTAAGCTATTTCCAGGGCAGTATTGGTGCATTTTGCATTTTTCCGAGGGGACATTTGGACCAGCTGTAACTGTTTGTTTTGCATTTGCAGGAAGCTCATTCCCACCTTGCCTTCATCATCGCCGTGTGCGCTGCCCTGGCCGTGTTTGCAGCCATGTACTTGCTGCTGTGCATGGAGTCCCTGTTCCGCAGGTGGCTGGCGCTGTTTGGAGTGATGGCTTGGGTCTGCTTCCTCACTGTGGGATATGTTTCCCTTTTTGAAAAAGGAAGTGATTATCAGCTGTGGGAACAGGTGTGTATGTTGTGTTCATTCAGGTGCTTGCATAGGACTGGTGGCCACTTGTGGATGTGTTTGTGTGTTTTAGCCTTTCAGAATGTCATAGCTGTGTAATAATGCTTCTGAGAGTTAACTTTTAAAAATTTGCTTTACTGGTTTGTTGCAGTAAAATTTAGTATTATAATGAAAATACATTTCAGTGAAAAAACGGAATAATTGCATAAACTTATGTGGGAATTGCATCTTTAAGTTGTAATTGTATGTGATTTTTATTTAGGAATTTTACTAAATCTTATTTACTATGAATTAATCTCTGAGTGATTTTTTTGTTAATAATTATTGCTTTGTTCATTTATTTGGGTCAAAGAGGTGTTCAAGAAATGTATAAAGGACTACAGAGCTGGGTGTGCCCTAGGGAGCAGGTTTTTAAGTCAGGGGAGAGGTGAAGTGAACAATAAGGATTAATGACACATCCTGGAATTGCTGGGTGTGGCTAAACTTCATTGCTTGCTATCTCTGAACAGAAGATGGGTGATTTCATGAAGCCAAAAATATCATAATTTATAGGAAACTCCTCCTAAGATCTCATAATGCAAGCAGAAGAGTTTTAATTAAATAAAAATTACTTTTTATCTTGTTTTATGAACTCTGCCCCTTCCTTTCTTTATTTGAATAAAGAAAGATAGAAATTATCAGTTAAACAACCAAAATCTGATTTGCATTATGGCCTTGATCCAGCACTGTACATTTGGAGTTGCCGTTTAGTATTTTTTAACCTAAGGAAGTGCCTCTTACCTTAGCAAACCCCCTAAAATGTATTGTTCTTAACTATAAATGCAAATACATAACAAAGCAAGATTTGATTTTGCTGCTTTCAGTGCTGCAAGCCAATGTGGTGTCGTCATGTGGCAATAATTAATTCATATTGATTTTAAATCTAAAGTATAAGGATGCCCTACTCTGAAAGTGGCTAGATTTACTTTGGATTTTCACCTCAAGTAATGAATTTATCACTAATTAAAGCTACTGTTTATTTATTTTGTTTAAATGTGGGTATGGCCCTTGTTTTTCCATCCTTTGCTTGTGCTTATAAAACTATCACAGAGCATTCAGAACATTGTGTAATGGGGATTGCAAATATGGCAGAAAAAAATGTTTTTTCTGCAGCTAAAGTAGTAAGATATACATGGAAAAATATTTTTGCAGAATGAAAATTTTATTTGCCTGTCCGTCTGATTATTAGTGGCCCAGTCAAAATAGCTATTCTGGGAAAATATTTAAGGGCAGACGGGACCTTGAGACTTCCTCGAAGGAAGCTCTTGTCTGGAATGGCACAATTTAGTTGCTGTGATGAGGTGGAGCTGAGTCAGGAATGCTACAATATATTCCTCTGATCAGGGTTGTTAGATTCCATATATATATATATATATATATATATATATATAAGCTGACAATTGTACAATTGTAACAAGTCTATAAATATGACTTTAAGTTTTGCATACCTTCCCACTGATCTGGAGCAGTTCAGTTCTGCATTTTATAAAATGTGTGCAGGTTAGTGGTAATAAAGGTTATTCTCTTTGGGAGGATCAGGAAGTATTGGTTGGATTTTTTGTTTTTTATCAAACACAAAGCAAACATACACATGTGACTGGGTGATGTTAAAATTAGAAAAATATCTTCCAACAGGTGATAAATCTGATTCTATTCAGTATTGTTACCCTTGCAACACACTGTTCCTGATGTGTGAGTACAAAGTGTATCCAAAGTGCATCTCCAGCTGTAAAGGATAAGTTCAGGAAAAAGGGCAAAGACAATTGAAAAAATGATAGGTGATATGTCATGTTAACCCATCTTGTCTATGAGCCTGTAGCTGTTAATCTCTCAAAACTCTCAGAACTACCACTGTCCTTATGGTTTTAACTGTGTTTTGAAACACCAATATCTAATTGTTCAGCCTGAAATTGAGCGAGAATCCTACTGCCTTGCTCCTGTTTCTGTAGTGGGTTTTGGGATTTACCTAATAACAAGTAAGTGTGATTATTTTTTTTCTTTTTCTTTCCAAAGGTGCCATTCTTCCTGTTCATAATCTTCACAGTTTATACCATGTTACCCTTTGGGATGAGAAGTGCTGTCATAATTAGTGCTGTTTCTGCTCTCTCCCATATTGTTGTTTTAACTGTAGTAAGTGTGACAACTCAAGGAAATAAGGAACCCATTCCATTTCAGGTAAGGAAATAACTTGGTTACATAGTGAAATACTCCAGTCAAAGTACCCTTTGTTTTGGCATAACTATTCTATTTACAAAAGTTCCATTGGTGTTTCAAGTTTGTGGATTTGGAGCTTGGGCCCAAAAACTCTTGGGCTTTTTATAGAATTGCAAATTTTTAAATCTATAGTGCAACTTTGTTTTTCTGACCTAAGTGGAAAAAGCAAGTTTGTTATATTAATTTTTAAACTAAGTTGTTAAAAATATGCCTAGCTTAGTCACAGTCACTCTTCCCAACCTGTGCTCTTTCAGGTGGCTCTACCTACCTTCACCAGGCACTGCACACAGGGTGGATCAAAAGGGCCAGTGCTGCCCTGGGGTGTTGGAGGGCCTGGGAGCACAGCCTGCTGCGTTCAGGGCTCCCAACACTCATTAACAGGGTGTGTTCACAGCAGCACCCAGCTCATTCCTGCAGGCGTGTGCCAGGTCCCACACAGCATGCTGATGCAGGAGTTTGTGCACTGGTTTTCCACAAACCAAACACTGGTGCCTGCACATAAATGTTAAATGATATCATAGCAATTTCTGTTTCATTATTGTGACTGTGAAAGTTAGATTACATCTGCTAAGTCCATCCTGGTTAATAGCAACGATGATTTGTTATGGGATGGGGTAAGAGGAAATGAGACATGGTCTGGGGTTGATTGTGTTTTATGGGACTAATATGTGTGTTAGTGAAGTATCAATGACTGCCCTGCAGTAGGTAAATATTTTTCTTTTTGTGCAGCTCCTTGCCAATGCTGTGATTTTCCTTTGTGGCAACTTCATGGGTGCATTTCACAAACGTCAAATGCAGGTTGCTTCATGGGATTTGTACAGATACACCTTAAAGTGCATTCAGGTCCGAATGAAACTGAAGATTGAAAAGAGGCAACAAGTGAGTGAGCTAGTTCATGTTATGAATTGCTTGTTTTAATTTCCAAAGTCTGCATAAATTCATAAGGTTGGTGACTAATCCATGTTGAAAAGTTTGGTCCAATCTTTGAGATACCCACCTAGCGTCAAAAATAAAAGTTGTGCCATTTGTAACAAAAGAAGGAAGTTAAAGGGAGGAAGCGATTTTCTGGGGTTTGTCTGCATGAAAATCACAGTATTTGTAACAGGAATGTAATTAATGTAATTGCCAGTCATTTTTAGTTCCTTTTTTCCTAGAATAAACTGTTTCTGGGACTGGGCTAAGGTAACTTGAGGACATAGCCTTAATGCTTTGAAATTACTTGTAAAATAATTTCAGCAGTTAGTTTTATAGCTCACTGGGTCACATTTTTTTTGCATTGAATTCTAAAGTATTATTTGTTCTTATATTTTATTGTCTCACAAACTGTTTTTCCTTTGCTAGAAGGAGAAAATTGGATGTGAAGGGAGAAAAAGAAATCATATAATAGATTAAAATATTTATTATCATAAACTCCAGTGGTATTCAAAGAATAACAGGCATGAATTTCTTACTGAGGAAGGTTTGTAGAGGGATACCAGAGCTGAAACTGAGGCACCTTTCCTGGTCTAAATAGGGTTAAGAAGTGCTCTACAAGGCTTATGTATATCGTGTTCTCTGCCCACCAGTTATTAGATAAAAAGAAGAGGCTGAAAAGTGACTGATGTGATCAAACTTGGAAGAAGAAAATGCTACACTGCTAGTGCGATCTGTTCTCTGATGCTAATCTTGTGAGACGAGATGACAGATCTGCATGAAAGCCCTGGCAGAATTCCCCACGCAGCTACCGGGGAAGCCTCTGATCATCTCACGCAGGCAGTGTGCTCTCATTTCCTGGGCAATGTGCTCGCTTCCATGGGTGTTCAAGATTTTGGGTTTGGCATTGTTTTTTGTAATGGTTCCTTGTTTGAAGTGTAAATGCGCTTAAGTCTATGGAGAGCTTTCTTTTCGTCCATGCTGCAATTTGGCAGGCAATTCGGAGTATCCTTTCTGCCACCCACTTGTCTGTGAAAAAGATGTGAGAACTGCAGTTCAGGGTTCCTCACTGCTTCCTTGAAAACTGTGTGATGTGTCAGCCTCCCAGTGGGCCTGTTATATTCCCTGGGATTCGGCTGTCATATTAAGTTCTTTCTCAGGGTTGACTGTCCTAGTACCAAAACAGTAGGTGAGGGAAAGGAGGTGCTTCTAGTTCTGGGATCAGTCTCAAGCTGAACTGCTGCCTATACCTTGCACGGACGAGTACTTGATGCTCAGGGACTGTCTCTTCCTGCTGTGATCCCAGGGTATTTCTTCTTGGGGGCAGGCACTGGTTAAATAACCCTGGCAGCTCACTGCTGCCTGCACATGGCTGCATTGGATAGTCAGGGAAAGGGGTCAAGGACTTGGACCCAGGGGACCATTTAGCATTTTACTTGGCTTCACAATGTGTTAATCTTGCTGTTGATATTGTCTGAAAAAGTTCCTGCTTATAGCTGCTCCACACATTTAATCTTCCATCTCTGCGGTGGGAGAGCCCTTCCTCACTCAAAGTACTCTCTTTGTGTCATCCTCTTCTGCCCAGCAGCTTACCAGGGTCTTCTTTGAAGAATGGGCTTTTGAGTGAGAGTGAGTGTAAAAGGGTGCCCTGAATAGTCAAACAATGAAAGTGGGTTTGGAGGAGTCTGTTTCTTGTTCAGTACAAAAGACTTCATTTCAGTGGCATTGCTTTGGTTTAGCTAGAGCAGCATGCAGCTGACACTTTTGTGTCTGTTGCTGCTTTTCCAGCATTTGAGAATTTACAAACGTTTTTAATACTGAATAGATAGATAGGTACAAAACATAAGCTTTTACAGAACCTTTATCAGACAATGCCAACATAACACTGATGTCAGGGGACAAAATAAAATGTAATTTATCCAGAAAATGTAGTACTGAATATTGACATTTTTTGTCTGTGTGTTTCATGGTTACAACGGAATGTCACACCTAGGCCATAAGGAACAAAAGAAAAAATATGAAACAGAATTGTGACATCAATTGGAGAATACCAATGTAAAAATGTCTTCTGAAAAACCTGACACGCATTATTCAAAAACTATTTGAATAAAGGCATTTTTGTTTTGATTTTCTTTATGCCTTCTTTCAGTCAGTAGAATTCTGCAGTTTCAGACTTACTGTGTTAATAATTTTGCACAATTATTCCTCCCTCCCAACCTTTTTAGGAAAATTTGCTTTTATCCATCCTGCCTGCTCATATCTCCATGGAAATGAAGCTGGCAATCATTGAGCGACTGAAGGAAACTAATGATAACAGGCAGATGCATGACAACAACTTCCACAGCCTATATGTAAAAAGACACCAAAATGTTAGGTAAGTGGAAGCCCTAGAATTAATTGTATTGATATAATCTGATTCTTATCAGTACATATGGTCTGGTGAAACCAAAATTGGAAGGCAGACTGTGAGGCTGAAGTGAGCTTCTTTCCTGCTGTGGGAAAATAACATGTGTTGAACTGGTGGGCTGTTTTTGAAATCCGGGGAGATACTTGAACCCCTTTTGCTGCAGTTGTTTCCCAAAGAGGAGAGAGATGTTTTCTGTTAAATGCATTTCAATAGTTATGCTGACTGTGGAATTGATGTATCTTCATATTTCACTTTCCCTGCTTTTCCCTTTTGCTCTTGTCTAGCATTCTTTATGCAGACATCGTAGGATTCACTCGCCTTGCTAGTGACTGCTCTCCTAAGGAACTTGTAGTGATGCTGAATGAACTATTTGGAAAGTTTGATCAGATTGCAAAGGTAGGTTTACGGTTTGTCCTGTAGGATAAAGGACTTTGGAAAAAGAAGTCTTTTTGTACAACAGGAGGCACCTGGGTGTTAGTCCTCAAGTCAGGAAGGCAAGACTGCTTTTGCTTTAAAGCTAACTGGCAAAATCACATTAAAACAAAATGTAAATAAAAAATGGGAAATGTAGCAAGTTGCTACTGTAATTCCAGTTCTTGGGTGTGGAGGTTTATCTGTATCATTTAGGAAATTGTCTGATGGTGGTAAGTGATTGCAGCAGGGCTGTAGGAGGTTTCGTGTACAAACTCCACTGAGGAGCTTTGCTGTGTGCAGCTCAAAACTCCATTTGTTTTACCCCACAAATGGAGAACTCTCAGACACACATTTAAGTTCATAATTTCAAAGGCATCAGGCAAAGAGCTCTTTAGCTCAGGAGTGAACTAAAGAAAGCTTCCTGTTACTAATGGATACTTAAAAAAAGTGTAACACTGGGGAGTAGTTTAACATAGTCCCTATTAACACATACCCTCAATACTGACCCTTCAGCCTGTCAGGAACAGTTACCACTTCCAGGTGCTGCTTGTGGATAATTTTTTGCAGCAGTAACCACAAACTCAGGTTTTTATTGCTCACATTATAGGGACTGTATCACCTACACGTTTGTGTGTTGTGTTTGTTAAATCCTAAAAATTTGTCAGAAAAAATTGAAAAACTCTAAAATTATTAATGTAGCAGATTAATGAAATTGCTGTAATTAAACCCTTGTGGATATAATGGAATAAATTCTTTAATACACCACTGGTTAAAACCTGGCTAAGGTGCTAGTAACATTTTTGACTGAATGGCATGGCTAGGTTTTGCATTTATCTGAATTCAGTTGCTGTTAAGTGTTTAAGTACTGACAAATAAAAGTTATACTATATTTATTGCAGTTGTATTGTTGTGAAGCAGCTATAAAGACAGAGTAAATTATGTCATTTTAGTTGTCAAATGGCAAAATTTCTTTTAATGCTGAAGTAGAAGTTAAACACATTTGGTCAGGTTTTGTAACTGTTTTGCAGAGACAAAAATAGAAAAAAAATCTAGATTTTGAGTGATGTGTTTTAATTTCTCACTGCTGTATGCAAATTGCACTGTAATGTCTGGATTTAGTGAGTCAAGGTCTTTTGCAACTCTGTGGTTGAGCTGTGAGAAGAGGTTCCTGCTTTTTGTGCTATTTTTGTTCTGCCAGGGAGTATTCTGTCATCTTTTCCATGAAGTACAAATATTGCAAGCTCCAATTTACCTAATAAAATTGATGGACACTGAGCTGGATGCTGAAGTGCAGCAGCTCTAATCCAGGGCTGGTTTTCCCTGCTGATCCCTCTGAGCTTGTCACTTGTGGCACTGCTCAGAACCCTCTGGGATGGATTAAGATGTGGAGACTGATGGATGTTCCCTAAAGGCTATAACTGATCAGGGGAACAGCTCAGTTTGGGAAATTGTCACAATTCGGGCTGATTTTGGAGTTGATGTAGGAACTGTGTTTCCACAGCAGGTAGTGTTGAACAGCTGAAGCTATTGGCTGGCCCAAATTAAACCCTCTCTGCTTGCCAGTCAAACGTTACAGAGCCTTGCAGAATTAGCCCTGGCTTGCTTGCAACCTTTGTAGTAAAAATTCTTCAGTAAAGTGTTAACAAAAGACAGTATCAGAGACTTATTGCTCTCTCCTGCCTGTCATTGGCAGCAGTATCCTATGTTACAGTTAGGAATTTTTTTTTTTTTTGCTACCAATCAGTATGGGTGGGTTTTTTATTAGCAATAGTAAGCTGTAGTGTGTCCCAGCTTTCTCTTCAGTCATGTTTGAAATAACAAAAAAACGCCATTTTGCATCTGCACGACTACCAGGTTGGGCATCTGAATTTCTAAGTCTTCCCTCAGTGCTGGGAGGTTTTATGACACCTCACACTGTTACTTATGAGGCTGACATGTAAAAATAGAGGGAAAACTGCCCATAATTCAGAAGAAGATTAAAAGATAGATAAGTAGATTTCATAAATTTTGTGATGATTTTGTAAATTTTGTGATGATTTTATTTTATTTATAGTTTTTTCAATTTTACACAGTTCAAGAAAAAGGTGAGAAACTAACAAGATGGTTTTTATTTCAGAAATGCTTCAAGTGGTCATTTTTGTAATCTCTAGTGAGCAATGTCCAGGCATTTGGGGAATAAGAAGTAAACTTTGTTTCAACAAGGACTGAACAAAGCCTGACTTTCTCAAACCAGAACCTTTGGAACTGTTACCCTACTTGCAGTTAATCTTTTCCTGTTAAAATGTTTGGTGTAATTTTTCAGGAGAATGAATGCATGAGAATAAAAATCCTGGGAGACTGTTACTACTGTGTCTCAGGCCTGCCTGTGTCCTTACCAGTTCATGCCAGAAACTGTGTTAAAATGGGGCTCGACATGTGTGAAGCAATAAAGTAAGTGTTATACAGAAGGCTGTTTAAAATATAGATACTATGCAGATATTGAATTAAGTTGGATTAATTGCTTAAACTAATTGAATTAATTAATTTTCTTGTCAACATTCAAAATGTATTTATGAGCTGTAGTTCAATAGTTCTGATCATAAATTTGTCTTGCCTTTGCACCAAGTGTATGATGAGACTAAACCTTAAGAGGAGGAGGAGATAAAATGACAAGTCTGCTCTATTCCCCCATGCTTCCCCAGGCAGGTGAGAGAAGCCACGGGTGTGGACATCAACATGAGGGTTGGGATCCACTCCGGGAACGTGCTGTGCGGGGTGATCGGCCTGAGGAAGTGGCAGTACGACGTGTGGTCGCACGATGTGTCCCTGGCCAACCGCATGGAGTCCGCCGGAGTGCCGGGGTGAGCCAGGGCCGGGCTGGGCTGAACC